TCTAAAAACAAGAAAAAATGGAAGGGGAACAATGAAACAAAATCTGACACTAGGAAGTGTTTCTTTAGCAATAAACTTGGTCATATCAAGAAAAACTGCTTTGAATGGTTGAAGAAACATAAACAAGGAAACATTGAGAGTAACTTGGCTTCTAGTAAAAACCAATGGGATGAGCCTGAGGTCTTGACAGTATCAACATCTGATACTGCTAAGGAATTGGTCCTCGACTCAGGCTATTCTTTTCATATGAGCCCACACAAGAACTGGTTCTAGAATCTAGAAACACAGGAAATTAAAACTGTCTATATGGGAAACAATCAGGCCTGTAAAGTGAAGGGTATAGGCAATGTAACTCTTTGACTAACTGATGGAAAACTTGTAAAATTAATCAAGGTTAGATAAATCCCTGATTTAAAAAGGACTCTTATCTCCTTAGGGACCCTAGATGAGGTTGGATGTTCCTATAAAGCTAACAATAGGTGCTTATATGTGTATAAAAATCAGAATCTGGTTCTTAAAGGGGAAAAGATAAATGGTCTATATATACTATGTGGAGATTCTCATCCTGAATGTTTTAATATTGTGTTGCCTCCCACTAAACAGATTGTAACTGAAAAATGACACCTTAGGTTGGGGCATATGAGTCAAAAGGGTATGAACATCCTTAGTAGTCAGGAGTGTTTGGAAGGGACACCATTAGCAACCTAGAATTCTGTGAAAAATGTGTCTTAGGAAAACCACATAGACTAAGTTTTTCAAAGGGGACTCATTTAGCCACAAACTGTTTAAAATACTTACACTCTGACCTCTAGGGACCTGAAAAAATTAAATCTCATGGTAGGAACAGTTACTTCCTATCCATTGTCGATAACTACAGTAGAAAAGTTTAAACATTTCTCCTGAAGACCAAAGATCAAGCTTTGACTAAGTTTAGGGATTGTTAGAAAACCAACTAAGAAAGAAAGTAAAGGCACTTCATACTGACAATGGACTTGAATTTTGCAATTCTGAGTTTGACAACTTCTGTAAAGAACATGGCATTTTGAGACATAGAACTGTAGCTAGGACCCCTCAACAGAATGAAATGGCAGAAAGGATGAACAGAACCTTACTAGAAAAGGTTAAGTGTCTCTTATTTACCTCAGGGTTGCCAAATACCTTTTGGGGGGAAGCCTTAGCCACTACAACCTATCTTGTAAACAGAAGCCCTTCCACTGCCATCAATGGAAAGTGTCCTGAAGAAATCTAGTCTGGAAGAAGACCAAACTTAAGTCACTTGAGGATATTTGGATGTGTTGCTTATGCACATACTGTAGGAGGAAAACTTGAACTTAGGTCCACCAAGTGTATATTCCTAGGTTACCAAGAAGGCACAAAAGGGTATAGATTATGGGATAGGGAGACTCCAGGGGTAAAGATCATTGTAAGCCGAGATGTGGTGTTCAATGAGAGTGAATTCCCTTGCAAAGGATCTACCACTGATCAGGGAAGCATAAAAAACACTGAACCTTACCCCAACCCTACTGGAAGTACACTAATTGAGGTGGAGCAACTAACACATCAGCCTAACCCTGCCCAATCAGAAACAGAACCCCAAACTGAAGTTAAAACTAAACACATTGAACTTGGACAACCAGAAGAAGAAATCACTGATGAAATCCTAGAACATCAACCAGTTGAACTTCAATAGTACCAACTGGCCAGGGACAGAACCAGGAGAGAGCTAAGGCCACTTGCACGCTATTTTTATGTTGAACTAATCTTTACTGCCTTACTTGCAAGTATAAAAGTCCATAGGACAAAACCTGAAACATATGATGAGGCTATGAAATCCAAAGATAAAGATAAGTAGGAAGCAACAATAAGGGCAAAGATGCACTCACTAGAGGTAAACAAAACCTGGACTTTGGTACCCAAACTCAAAGACCAGAAACTGATCCAATGTAAGTGGATTTATAAACTGAAAGACGGTATCTCAATTTCTGACCCTCCTAGGTATAAAGCCAGGCTGGTTGCCAAAGGCTACACCCAAAAAGAGGGAATAGACTTCAATGAAGTCTTTTCCCCAGTGGTGAAATACCAAACCATCAGACTAATGTTGTCCATTGTTGCACACCAGAATCTAGAATTAGAACAGCTAGATGTAACTACTACTTTTCTTCATGGAAATTTAGATAAGCAAATTTATATGTGCCAACCTATAGGATTCATTGATGTTAGGGTTCCTGACCATGTATGCTTGCTTCATAAGTCCCTATATGGCCTCAAACAGGCCCCTAGGCAGTGGTACAAAAGGTTTGACACCTTTATAATGGGCCTGGGATTTAGGAGAAGCAAGTATGACAGTTGCTTCTATTTTGACTTAGATAAAAATCTGCCCATTTACCTTTTATGATATGTTGATGATATGTTGTTAGTCAGTAGATGCAAATCTAGGATGCAAGATCTGAAGAAGAAACTAAGCTCTGAATTTGACATGAAAGATCTGGGAAATGCTAAGAAAATATTAGGAATCGTGATATCTAGAGATAAGAGGAATAACTGTTTAAAGCTTGATCAGAGTAATTATTTGCAGAAACTCATAAATAAATTTGGTATGACTGACTCAAAACCTGTCTCAATGCCCTTAGCAAATCATTTCGTGCTTAGTAAAAACCAGTATCCTAAAAGTGAAGCTGAGATGATAAAGATGAATGATATCCCATATTAAAACATGTACATATAAAAAAATTTAATATATTATAATATTAAAGTTTTGATTAATTAAGTGTATAATTGGAATTAGGATCCAATTAAAAGTGTTTTGATGTTGTTAAAAGAATTATTTTTGAATAAAATAGTATATTTGATTGAATAATAATATAATAATTAGTTATGAGTAATACTAGCCTTACAAAGAGGCATACAAAGACTCATAAAAAGAGTCAAATCTAACCCTTAAAAGAAGGGAAAAAGAGAGAGAGAAATAGGCAATCATGAATTTTAAAGGCTGGATTTGACTCTTTATATGGGTCTTTATATGCCTCTTTGTAAGGCTAGTATTATTCATTAGTTATTTACTTTAATTATCAAATTCTAAGTATATATCTATAGTAAATTAGTAATTAATTAATTATATATGATAAATTGATAAACATTAGTACATTACTAGTTAAATGATTACTTAATTAATTATAACATTACATTATAAATAAATGATTACTTAATTAAATAATTACTTAACTAATTATAACATTCCATTATAAACATTGGTACAATACTTAATTAAATGATTAGAAATTTAATTAATTATAAGTATGATTACTTAATTAATTATAACATTACATTATAGTATAATCACTCAATTAATTATAACATTAAATAATTAAATGATAAGTTAATTAATTATAACATTATATTATAAATATTAGTAATTTACTATATTAGTACAATACATAATTAAATGATTAGAAATTTAATTAACTATAACATTAGACTATAGATTTATAGTATGATTACTTAATTAATTATAATTAACATTACATTATAGGATGATCACTTAATTGGTTATAACATTACATAGTTAAATGATAGCTTAATTAATTATAAATTTATAACATTATATTATAAACATTAGTAATTTTCTACATTAGTACATTACTTAATTAAATGATTAAAATTTTAATTAATTATAACATTACATTATATATTTATAGTATCATTACTTAATTAATTATAATACTACGTTATAAACATTAGTATAATACTTAATTAAATTATTAGAAATTTAGTACAATATTTATGAGTGACATTGGATACAAATGAATGAGTAATCAAAAGTTGAAAACTATTAAATGCACGCTTTCTTAATTTGTTAGGGTTGTATTTGTAGACTTTTAAGGTAATTTTGTCATTTTTTAAACTAATAGGAGGGTAATTGATTTTTTACAGGGTACCCGGTAAGAAACAAGAACCTGCATTTCAGGTTCCAGTTCCTTGAATTTAAGAATCGAAACCAATAGGTTTCGGTTCCAGTTCCTTTTTCTGGGAACCTATACTTTATGGTTCCAGTTCCAGTTTCTCTAAAAATTGCAGGGTACCCGAAACCGCTCACCCTTAGAAAAACAAAATTCAAAAGGTAAGACTCATTATATTCATGTCCCTCATGATCTTTATTCTATTAATAAAAATTTATCGTGACAACAAAATTTATCAAAAAATATCAATATAAATTTAAGTTTTATTTTAAAAAAATTCAGCCCTCCCTAAAATAAAATCCTTGTTTTGCCCCTGGACAGCCTCTCTCATCTGCTGACACAAGAATTGCTTAATTTGGTGGTCGGAATTTGATTTTTTTGTCTAAAGCTTTAGAGCTTATGGATGGCAATATATATAGGCTGCGTTTGTTTCACATTTGGGAATACTACTTTTAGTATTCCCAAAAAAGTTAAACAGTAAATTACCCAAAATTTCAGATTTTTGGGAATACTACTCCCAAAATTATTCAACTTTTTTTAAACCCCTTAAATTTGATAATTTAATTAAATACCCCTAAATATTTTTTTTTAAATTACAAAAACACCCCAATAATCCAAATTTACCAGATTCCGGCCACCACCACCGGAAAATGGCCGGAATCTGGTAGAATGGCGCACTACCGGCTGAATCTGGCCGGCAGTGCGCCGATCTAGCCTTTTTCGGCCAGATCCACGGTGGATCTGGTCGGAAAAGGCCAGATCTAAGGCCCAAGATCTGGCCGTTGACGGCCAGATCTTTGGCCGTAACACTCGGTCACGACGGCCAACAAACGGTCGTCGTTGACCATCAACGACGACCGTTTGTTGGCCGTCGTTGAGAGTAAATACGGCCAGATCTGGCCGTTGATGGCCAGATCTGACCGTAGATCTGGCCTTTTCCGGCCAGATCCACCGTGGATCTGGCCGGAAAAGGCCATAGCGACGCATGACCGGCAAGATCCAACCGGTCATGNCTAACTGTCATTTATCCAAAATTTACTTCTCCTAACTTTCTGTACCAAAATTTGAGCTTATTTTCAACTCATTAACTATTTTAGATATTGCCATCCTTATTTATGCTGGCTTTCTCCATTGCCCCTTCAAAAAAAGTGCAGCAATGGCGTTCAATCATACCAATTATTTGCAATTTCTAGTTCTGCTCCTTCTCTCAGGCACCGCTTTTTCCACCATTGTCAAAACTCTTCCCGGCTTTTCTGGTGACTTACCTTTCACACTTGAAACTGGGTGCGTACTATAATGCAGTATTTCTACTTCAACTTTGATGTTTATTATTTGCAAGAAAATGTGAATATTGATAAGTATGAAATGTTTTTTTATTTTTTTTTTTATTTTTTTTTTCTGCTTCAGATATACAAGTGTGGGAGATGTTGAGTTCTTCTACTATTTTGTGGAGTCAGAAAAAAATCCAGCGGCTGACCCTTTGCTTCTTTATCTCAATGGAGGTCCTGGTTGTTCTGGTTTGAATGGATTCCTCTTCCAAATAGGTAAGCTTTATATATCCACTCTTCTTCGTCTTCCAAGATTAATGAAATTTTCTTTTGGGTGAATTTTTTATGTATTAGCAATTTAATTTGTCAGTAAATAGAACCAGGTGAGACGCTCATTTTTCTATGCTTAACAGTCAAATTGAATGGTAGTTGAGTTGGTATTAGGATAATGGATTTTTGGTAAAATGAATTGAATATTTGAATAGGAGAGAAAAACTCTGTCGACACATTATTTCTACCCATATTCTCAATCTCATTCCCAAAATATTGTTTGTTTTGTTATTTGAGAAATATTATTATATTTTTTTAATTATTTTTAGACCCCTTAAGTTTATTAATTTCATAAATACCCTCAGAAAAAAAAAAGGTTTAAAAATGAATAAAAACACCCGCACCCACCCATACTTGCCAGATTCTGGCAACCACCGTCGGTGATAGTCGAAATCTGTCACAACAGCCTACAAACTACCGGGACTAGCTAGTAATTCACCGATCTGGCCGTTAGCGACAACCAGATCTGGACTTTTCTGGCCATATCGACACCTTACTTGTCAGATCTGTCCGGTCTGTGTCGTAACGCCATTTTTCGGCCAGATTCCGACGGTGGTGGCCGAAATTTGGCATTGTGGGTGGTGGGGGTGTTTTTGTTATTTTACAAATTTTTTATATATTAGGGCGTTTAGTTAAATTAGCAAATCTAAGGGGTTTTTTTGTAAATTTTTAAATTTTACCTCGTAATACTCCCCTATTCAACTACCCAATATTATTTCCAAAATCTTATCCAAAATAATAAAACAAACGGACGATAATGTAATGTCTATGTGCTAGTAATTATTGTATTTAATAATTATTAATTGCAATTTATTTAAAGATAGATGAATTTTTTTTTTTAAAATATGACATAAATTTACTTGAAGGTAGAATAAATGATATGACATCCTCTTTTTATTCAGCATTTTTTCCATAATAACTTTTCTAATTGTAACTTTTTTGTGTGAATTTAATTAAAAGAAAGTGTATTAAGTAGTATGCATTATATAATCTTAGCATCTGGTGTTTATGTGTGTGTCTTAGGCCCATTAAAATTCGACCGCAAAAACTACACTTCAGGCCTACCGACATTGCTATATGAACCCAATTCATGGGCCAAGGTAGAATCAATCATGCGTCTTTTTTATCTCAAACTTTGTTCTTAAGTAATGTTGTTTTCATTTCTCAGGCTACCAACATCTTATTTTTGGATGCACCAATTGGAGCTGGTTTCTCTTATGCTACAACCTTAGACGCTTGGAACACAACAGACACAAAACATGCGCAACAAGTTACCACTTTCCTAAGAAATGTGAGCTCACTATTTGATGATACCTAACAAAACAATGATATGATTTAATTAATTATTGGTAGTTTAACTTACTTTGTTCTGAAATGCAATGCAGTGGTTGAGTAATCATACAAGTTTCACGGCAAATCCAGTCTATATCGGTACCGATTCATATGCTGGAATAAATGCTCCTATGATTGCTCTTGATATTTTGGATGGTAATTTAATCTTCTCCAAACTCATTTGTACTGCTCAATTTAATCAGATTTTGAAGTCACCATTATAATATAATATATGACTTTGGACTTGAAGGCAATGAGGCTGGAGATAAGCCAATTATTAATCTCAAGGTGCAAAGCTAATCTTACTTTGTCAGTCATTTGTTTTTAAAATTATTTTATGTATTATCTTTGATTGTAATTTCTTTTAAACAACCTCAGGGATTATCGCTTGGATGCCCACACACAGATACAGACCTTGAAACTAATGCAAAAATACCCTTTGCTCATCGAATGGCACTTATTACAGATGAATTGTTTGAGGTATAATCAAAATTAAAAAAAAAAAATGAACTTATGCTTTCAATAATAGTTATTTTGGATTGGGAATTTAATTTAATTTTTTTTCTTTTTATCTTTTTTCAGAAAGCCAACAAGAGTTGCAATGGGAGCTATGCCGTTATCGCTCCAAACAATACTGAATGTGTAGAGGCTATTGATGCTATAGATGAGGTGAATTTGATGGATTATGAATGTTATTTTATTACAGTATGGTCTTTTACGAGTCTTATATGGGCATAAAATTGAGTGATTAATTGATGTTTGATTTTATAGTGCGTCGAAATGATAAATCGACAAAATATTCTCGAACCCGATTGCGCTCTCCTATCTCCGGAGCAAGCACAAGATCAAAAGATCCGAAGATATCTCAGAGAAAACACAGGAAATTTCATCATGCAATCGCCTCAAACTCGTGATCTTTATTGCCATGTAATGAATTTTCATGTTGCGTGCATGCTCAAATTATTTTCTAAAGTAAAAATATAATCATCCTCACTGTTTTTTGTATGACAGAACCTCCCATACTTGTTGTCTGTCATATGGGGAAATTATGAATCTGTCCAAGAAGCTCTAGGAGTTCGACCGGTATGAGTTTGTGGAGAGTAATGAGATTTATATAATACTTGGAATAATCAACAAAAATTCCTGAAATTTTCTTGTGATAACAGGGAACCGTTAAAGAATTTTATCGATGCAACATTAGTTTGGCATACACAGTTGATATTAATTCAGCTATTCCTCAACATAAGGAGCTCACACAGAAAGGCTTGCAACTTCTGGTTTTCAGGTGAATCTTATGAGATTTTCAAAACACAAAAGAACAAAAAATTCTGCAAATCTTACATTGAAATAAACTCAAATTGCAATGAGAATTGTTCTTAAACTTCTCCTTCTGCATGCAGTGGTGATCACGACATGGTTATGCCACATAACGGTATTGAAGAATGGATAGGCTATTTGGATTTGAGTCTTGATAGTGATTGGCGTCCATGGTTTATTGAAGGTCAAGTTGCTGGGTAAGTTCGTGAATTTTCAAAGTGATGGTTACAATTCTACCATTGATAAAACTCTCTTTTAAGTTAAAATGTTTTTGCATAATTTGTAGGTACACGAGGAAGTTTGACAACAGTGGATACCGTTTGACATATGCAACAATTAAGGCAATAAAACTCTTACTATATATCCTTAAATTAGTTCTTATTAATCTATAAATGAAATTAAAAGGATTAAATTAAATTATTTATTTTGTTTTTGTTTATACAGGGAGCTGGCCACTCGCCTCCAGAGGACAAACGGAAGGAATGTTACATCATGTTTCATAGATGGATTAATTATTATCCTCTGTAGGAATTTTTAGCTTCTCTAAGTAATAATTCAAAAGTATCTAGTTTATGTACTAGCTTTATCCTCAGGAAAGTCAATTTGTTACGGACATAAATTAATTATTGTATCGTTTTAGTGTAACCAAGGGGAATTTAGCTACTTTGAAATAATATTGATCATAAGTTGTTGCTGGAGCATTACAACTTTTGTTCACAAATTAATTTAAGAATGAAAATTATTACTCGTAAATATGTGTTTAAGAATTTAGAATAGAATCTGGCCAGTCGTATGCCGATCTAGCCTTTTCCGGCTAGATCCATGATAGATCTGGCCGGAAAAGGCCAGATCTAAGATCAAAGATCTGACCGTTGACGGCCAAATCTTTGGCCGTAACTAGTCTGTAATGACGGCCAACAAACGGTCGTCGTTGACTATTAACGACGATCGTTTGTTGGTCATCGTTGACGAGCAAATACGACCAGATCTGGCCGTCAATGGCTAGATCTAGCCATAGATCTGGTCGGAAAAAGCCATATCGGCGCACGACCGGCAAGATCCAATCGGTCATGCGTCGATACGGCTACTCCGGCCACCCTCTGGCGGTGGTGGCCTGCTGTCCGTATTTGAGGGTGGGTTGGGGGTGTTTTTGTTAACTTTTAATGTTTTATTATAGGGGTGTTTTTGTAAATAAACAAATATAGAGGATATTTTATTAATTTGTAAATCTTACATCTTAATACCCACCCAATTCAACTTTTTTTTTTAACTTTTTTCAAAAAACTTTTTCAAAAAACCCAAAATTTTGAACCAAACAGAGCCTAGGGGACTTACCACATTGGGTTTATAAAATATTCAATTTATTAACTTCTTAGGTTAAAATCACATTGGGCTTATAGGGTATTTAATTTTATTAACTTTTTGGGTTAAAACCTCCTTGAGCCACCTATCACATTAGGCTTATAGGTTATTCAATTCATTAATTTCTTGGGTTCAAACCACCTTGGGTCACCTACTACATTGGGCTTATAAGTTATTCAATTCATCAACATTTTGGGTTCAAACCACCTACCACATTGAGGTCACTTATTATGTTGGGTTTATAGGGTATTCAATGGTCTTGTGCTTTGTTTTGTGTAAATAGCATTTGACTTAATTTTTCTAATTTTTAACCCCACCAACCCATATAAAAGTAAAAGTTACAAAAACTTTTTCTTCTTATTTTTTTAATTGTATTAGGTATTTGATAAGAGAATTAGTTATATATAATGTTGATGGTGGTTTTTCGGTTGAGGGTCTAACATTTGCTTCCACAGCGAACCGTCATTTATAATTCGAGAATTTTGTCTTCAAGCGTCTAAACCACGAGCTTGATGTCTTCAAGCGTCTAAACTACAAGTTACTTCACGTTTTTTTGTACTAGAAGTTGATATTGTGTTGATTGATTCATATCCTTTCGGCTATTTCATCAACTATGTGCGATTTGAAATCATCAAGTATAATTTCAGAAGCTATTGAAATCAAAATGCATCATCGATTATCATCGTTTCTTGTGTATATAAAGTTTATAAGAATTTCAAGATTTTTGTAGGTAATTTTTAGCCAATATTTTTATGTGCCACTTATGAGGGAACATTTTTTTTTTCATCACTGGCGGTGTTTGGACCAGATTGTGTACACTTCAACTAATCCCATAGAGTCTTAGAATTATCGGTCAGATAAGAGACTTAATGGTCACCTTCATTAATACATGAGGGGTTCGAAGTCATGAGCTCATAAAACTTATTTTACTCTTTTACCATTAGATCATTCAATGGTGATTGAGGGAACAGTTCTTTGTGCCTCTTTGGGGCAATTGTTTGATCGGTCACTTATGAGGCAACATTTATGTATCACTTTTGGGGCATATGCCATTTTTAGGACACCAATTTGGTATACTACTTTTAGACATGTACCATTTCTGGGATATTATTTTCATATGCAACTTTCATCTATTTTTTGTAGATAAATTGAAAATGTGGATTAATTATATGAATGAACAATCATTTTAGTGATGGAGAGGGGCTGATGATATTTTCAAATCACTAGCACTACATTCAAAAACTCAATAATTATGTGATAGATCGCAACAACAAAAAAATCAATTGTACGCAGAGTTATTATAGATAAATTAGAGGTGGATATTTTTTGTATTAATTCAATAACTTTCCAACAATCTAAATGAATTGAATCATGACTGAAATTTATGTTGTTAATTTGGTTTGACGCGTAAATAGGGCCAAATAAATTATAATTATTTTATGAGATTATAATATTTTGATTTCTTAATTTAAAATCAATATAACTATATTTATCTAGCGTTTAGTTTTAAAACTATTAATCAGATATATGTTGTGACTTAAAATTCTTTCATAATTTTTTGACACTTTTTGTGAATCGTTAATTTTTGTTGATCCAATGATAATAAAAGATTTTTGAGTCATTATTAAATGTAATTAACTCTAACTTCACACTTTTAGATTAAAAAAAAATAAAAAAGAGTATCAAAAATTTAAGTCACAATATCCGGAATCATAATTTCATACAATAATCAGTAGGTTTAATTGCAATAACCATCCCTCCGGTTTCAAAAATTTGAACATAGTTTTTGAGTTTAGGGTTATTATACCAATACCACCTTCATGTTTTGAAAATTGTTAACCAACCGCCGTTGGGGCTAACGTCGTTGCAACTTCGATGACTAACAAGGGAAATTAATTATTTCAATCACTTCTAATTGAAAAAGAAAGAAAAGTTAAATAAAATAATAATAATTGAAAATAAAAGAAAAGAAATCATCTCAAGTGCACAGCAAACCCCACCTACACTTGCAAATCACTATCGACACGACAACCCAAACTAAGCATTTAAGTTTCAGATTCTGAATTGATGTCATTTAAAGAATATTATCACATCACTTTCTATTCATCTTTTTGTCAGAAAAAATTATATATATATATATATATATATATAGGTAATATTAGTCATAATTAATTCAATGGCTCAAATAATCCCATATACTATTCGCGCCCTAACAAGTTTAAAAAGAGTTATTTTATTTCTTAAGAAAAGAAAAAGTAGAGTCAAACTATTACTCTGCCATTGGTTTATGATTCGAATGCATCCCCGGCCTTGTTAGCAATGGAGAAAGGTGGTTGTACATCTCAGACGTATTGGTACACCTGATTTTTACTTCTTTTTTAATCACATAAAGATGGAGTATGGACAAAATTTTTCTTTTGGGGTTCTCAACTCTCTCATTTTGATTTCCATCGTGTATTACTGTCAATATTAGAGAATTAAGGGGGATTTTGTTATTTTATTCCCTGACCTTAAGGATTTTTTGTGGTCCTAATGTTTCGATAACTAACACTTTAATCCCAAACAACAAAGATTTTTTTTCACTTATGAAAAAGACATAAATACCCTAGATATGTTAATTAAAAATTAATAAGAATAGTTTTCAATAGAAGATCATTCCATTTTTTTAAATAAAAAATTTAAAAAAAAAAAGTTAAAAGATGCATTCTAATTTATATTAGATTATATAAGATGATGAATCTAACACAACAATTGAAAAATAGATTTCTTGAAATATGAGAACTTGAATATGGAGTGGCCATCTATAAAACAATTAGTAAATTTTCTATTTATTGTCTCTTTATTTTTAATTAAATATGGCTGGGGTATTTATGTCTTTTTATTAAAAATTATTTAGTGTTTGGGGACTAAAGTGTCAGTTACCAAAACGTTAGAACCTCTCTAGAATACAAAATTATTATTATATTATACCAACTAACAGATGTTGAATTTCCTTCATTTTTTAATGACGCTAACTCCAAGCCCCAGCATTTCCAATCTGACTCTACGGTATCAACAGTAGTATCTGTATTTCAAACCGAATGTCAATTTTTACCAGCGTTGACATCCTCATTTCAAAATATAATATAATAATGGTTTTACAAGTAGCACCACACCCAACAATCAAAGCTCTCAGCTTACAGTGATTTAAAATCCATCAAGCGAGCACAGGCCGCTACGTATTTGTCCGGGTACATCAAAATGTCATCCACTTGGTGTTTGCGTCTGTTTCTTCTACTAGTTTTCTCTGCAAATGCTGCTTTCTCCGGCACCATTGTCAAGACCCTTCCTGGTTTCGATGGTGAACTTCCCTTCAAACTTGAAACCGGGTAATTAATTAATGAAATAGATTTCTATCTTTTTTGCTTGAGATTTGATTATATTGTAGGTGATTTGAAAATGGGATTTTTTTTTTTTTTTCGGTTTTTGATTGATAAGGTACGTGAGAGTGGGCACATCGGAGATGTTTTACTACTTCATTGAATCTGAAGGGAATCCCAGAGAGGATCCTCTCCTGCTTTGGTACAGTGGTGGCCCTGGTTGTTCTGCTCTCAATGGTCTTATTTATGAAATTGGTATCATTTCTCAACCTCTTTAAATAGCTAAAATTATTTTTTCCTTTCTCTTTTATAAGTACCATAGAGACAGATAATGGTAGTTTAGTAGAAAGTAATTTTAAAGCAAAAAGCTGACCTAAGCTCAAGTTATATATTATCTGGGTAATCCTCTTTTGGTCTGTTAATAACTTCTTCTGTGCTCTTCTTGAGTTAAAATTTGAGGAATTGTTGGGTAGAAATAGAGTGCATTAGGCCAAGCCTGAAACCATTAGGTAGCCCAAACTTTATGCAAAAAAATTGTTGGGCTATTTTATCTCATTCATGGACATATGCGGTCAATCTAGCCCTTATCTATCTCTACATACGATAGTTGGGATTTTTTTTTTTTTGGGTTAAAAGCGTTAAGAGTCATGGCATAAGAAATTATTGAAGTGAAATAAGAGGGGGAAGTCAAAAAAATTATGTCACGTTTTAAGTTAGAATAACCAATCAAGAACAAAAGTTTCTCATGAGAAATGACAATATGTATTTTCAACAATTTGTAGGTCCATTAGCTTTCAATATAACAGAATATGAAGGAGGCATACCATCTTTGATGTACTATCCATATTCATGGACAAAGGTAATATACAAAGCCTATTTGGTTTCTTTTCTTTGACAAATATTATGCCCTATTGATAACGGAGAACTGTTTTGATAATCTTCCCACCAATGTTACAAGTTTATGATTGATTTGTTTCATCTAAAAATACAAAAGTAAAGTGCAAAGCAACGGCAATATTTGTGTTGTAGACAGCCAGCATTTTGTTTGTGGATGCACCTGTTGGTACTGGTTTTTCCTTCCCATTAACTCCAGAGGGTTTCGCGACCTCAGATACGTTAGCTGCCAAAGAGATCTATCAATTTCTCAGAAAGGTCAGTTAAACTATCTGTAACATCTTTTAGTCATGCCAAATCCTTTATAATCCTAAACTTTAATGTTGCCTCAATGTCCTGCGATAAACTGAGTCAAAGAATATTTACTTATGCATTAATTTTGAAGTTATTGTGCAGTGGTTGATGGAGCATCCGCAATATCTCAAACTTCAACTATTCGTTGGGGCTGATTCTTATTCAGGCATATCAGCCACATTAGTTGTTCAACATGTATTAGATGGTAACTACAAGTGACATTTACTTCGTAATTTACTTGAAACTTTTCTTCCTGAACGACGTTTAAATTTTTTGTTGAATTCATAATAAACTTTCAGGTAATCTTGATACAAACTTGATGCAACTAAATCTCAAGGTTCGTGATTATTTCAATTAGAATGATGTCTTATTTAAAGGATATGAATATTGAAATTTAAGAGTGAATTTGAGATTTTCTTGATGTGGTTTCAGGGTTATATTCTTGGCTGCCCAGAAATAGATGGAAAAATTACCGCGAACGCCAAGATAGTTTTTACTCACAGGATCGGACTTATATCTGATGAACTCTACAATGTAATTCTTGTTAAGAATTTTATGTTATCATTTACTCTTTCTTTCTAGTAAACAATGTTATTTTCATCTTGTCCAGGCTACTAAAGTCACTTGTGGAGGAGATTACTTTGATACAACCTCAGAAAATCCAGCTTGCTATGAGAATCTTCAACTGATCAACAAAGTGAGAGATTGTTGAAATATTTATTTATTTTTTATTTTTTGCAATAGTTTTGAAAACAGCAGTACTGAATGTCTGATTGATTTTAATTTCTGTAACTCTAGTGCACTAAAGACCTATACAAAAATAACATTCTGGAACCTAAGTGCACTTGGGCATCCCCAGAATCCGCTGATGAACCAGCTCGACGATTACTTGAAGAAAATGCAGAAGGATTCATCCTATCACCTCCAAGAATTCCTGAATTTTGGTGTCGTGTAAGTCTGTCAGTCGTTTTTCTGTCTCTCCACATTCAACATTCCAGGTATAATTGTAAACTTACATGAAAACTTAATCTATATATCTATCTACAGAATTTCAATTATGCACTATCTTATATCTGGGCAAATGATCAGAGTGTCCGAGCTGCTCTTAACATCCGTGAGGTATGGAATTCCTCAGAGTGACAATTATTTGTGATTAGTCATAATCAAGTCTTAGAAGAAGCGATAACACCATATATGTTTCGATAAATGCAATCAGGGAACAGTTCACGATTGGAAGAGATGCAACAAGTCCTTAAATTACGGAAAGGATGTCAAAAGTGTCCTTGATTATCATCGCAATTTCACCAACAAGGGCTTACAAGCTCTTGTATACAAGTACTTAGCAATTCTCCATTCTTGATTATCATGTTTTGGTATAACGCTAACAATTATATTCTTTTGGCTAATCTTGGCACAGTGGTGATCATGATCTTATAATTCCAAATCTTGCAACACAAGGGTGGATAGGGAAGCTCAATTTGACAATAGTTAACGACTGGCGGCCATGGTTGGTTGATGGTCAAATTGCAGGGTAAGATTACAACTATATTTAATAACTTATAATTATGTTATCCCTCGTAAGAGAAAAAATTTATTTAACTTGTTGCAACGCTTTTATGCAGATACACAATAAAGTATTCAGAAAATGGGTATCGCTTGACTTACGCTACTGTGAAGGCAAGGAGATTAAAGAAACGAATAACTGAGTTAGTTGATGAATGTAAATTCAAAACTTAGAATTTTAATGATAAATTTGGGTTTTTGTTTGTGCAGGGAGGTGGACACACACCACAAGAGTCCAAGCGTAGGCAATGTTATAACATGTTTGAGAGGTTTATTCACTACTATCCTCTCTAGAGAAAGCTTGCATTTTAGAAATTCTGGGAATTGATCGATGTTGTAAGTTTCTAACTGATCAAAGGATGTTGAAACAAGTAATGGAATAATTCTTCAAATTAATATATGAGAAGTAAATTCATATGAAATTATGAGATAATACCAATGATATAAAAATGATGTTGAATTTTATGTGAAAACTGGAAAAAAAAAAAATAAATAAATAAATAAATTCATTTTAGTATTGTAATGGTAAAATGAAGATAATTTATTACGTTGATTGTTAAAGATATACAAGTCTGAAATTGTGTAATTTCTGACATCCATTTGAGTTGTTCTTATTTGCTGTAATATGTATTAAAATTATGTTATAGAAGCATCAGAAATACGTACCCACATGTTTGGATTTATTTTCACAAAGAATGCTACCCTCAAAAAGGTAAAATATCTTAGCATTTCATCTCAAAATCAAAATGATAAAAGTTTTTAATTTGGCATAGTTGTGTTCAGTTACCATTTAATCAATTTTTACACCATTTGGGATATAAATAGGTCAATTACATTATAGTTCCTTTAGTTTTATCTACATCATCAAGGATAATGCTTTCAAAAACCGATGAAAACATCCCTAAAGTCAGCAAACGATAGCTTGAATCAAGTGATTCGAAGCAGTTTTTTCCATTTCAACATATAGAATACTAAAATGATAAATGTTAACCGATAAAAGAAATTATTTTTCTTTTAACATATGATTTATTAAATCAATTTCAAGAAGTTGGCATGACAGTCAAAGATGTTTGCTTCATTTCTTAAGTTCTTGGATTCAAACTTTGGGATCATCTATCACAATAATATTGTGGTTTATCAAGTCATTTGGATAAGTGTTCAATAAACCTCGAAGATTTGTTGAGATACAAGCAAGTTACCCTGTACACCTCACTTACCAAAAAAAATTTATTAAACCCAAAATACCTCAATCCTTTTCAAACAAGATTCCTAAAGGAACACATAACTAGACTGTAGCATTTTCTTGGGCATAATTTTTTTTTTTTTTTTTGATTTTTTAGTTGATGGCTTTTTTACGAATAATCCTAAACTGAGTTTATGTCCAGTAGTTTTCGATAACCTGAAGTTACTTAATGAATTTAGCCTTGGTTTTAATAAATTATTCATATTGCTCCAACAAAACGGAATGATCGTTTGATTTTTATTTGTTCCAAAAGCAAACACAATTGTTTCTCCTTTTCAACTTTATTATATTTTTTCATTATTTATCCATCATTATCAATCACATTAAAAAAAAAAAAAAAAAAAAATTCATTCAACTCATCCAATTATTGTCGTCGAGAATAAGGTTGTAAACGAGCCAAACCAAGTCAAGTTTTTGACTTATCGAGCTCGGCTCGTTTGTTATAGGATCAAGTTCGAGCCTGTCGAGTCAGAGAAAAAGGACTCAAACTCGAGCTCGATCGAGTTCGAGTCGACTCAACTTCATCTTCATCATCTGCATATCTTTATCTCCATAATCTTTATCTTCATCTTCATCCTTTTCTTCGTCTTTATCTCCATCATCTTCATCTTCATCTTCATCTTGCAGAGCATCAAGAGTTACGCAGACTTACGTTGCTTCCATCTCCATCTTCTTCATCTTCATCTTCATCTTCAACACAACCAATATGTTGATTTTGATTTTGATTTTTGATTATGAATATTTGCAAAAAAAAAAATTTAGGGGTTAGGGTTTTGTCGATTTGGGATATCTGATTTGGAGGTTTAATTTTGTGTTTTATAACAAATTACATCGGAGAGTTAAATATCATTTTTACACAGTTTTAAAACTAAAGAATATAGATAACACTTCAGTCCTCACAGTTTATAAAATACAACAAATGAAACCGAGCCTCCTCAGGCTCACGAGCCTATGAGCCGAGCCTCCTCATGTTCAAACTCGGCTCATTTTATATAGCGAGCTCGAGCCGAGTCATAAACGAGCTTCAGACGAGACGAGCCGAGTCAAGGCAGCTCGCGAGCCGCTTGACTCGTCTGACAGTCCTAGGAGCGGCTCGTCTGACAGCTCTAATTGGGAATATTTTGCCCCAACGCGGGCATATGCTTGTGATGTTTTAAAAGAAAAAAAATTAATATCCTTAAGGTTATCCAAGCAAATTAATGAATGATGGCTGCAATTCATGTAAATGCAATAATTGTAGACCCTACCATAATAATGAACACATCAAATCAAAATTTGCCTTTGCGTTTCTGGTTTTGGACGCTCCACCTTATCATAGTTCAATCTATAATTCAATTTGTAAAATCTTGGTACTCACAAAAACTACCGTTCAAATAACAAACATACAATAAAAAAGCCTGTAGATAGGACTGGTGGGCACATGATCGATTAAATATATGTGTACGTTTTATAAGCACGTGGAAAATATTCTATTAATAATTTGCATATCCAACCCCCCCCCCAAAAAAAACAAAAAAAAAAAAAACAAGATAATAGTAATGGTTTGGACACATATTTTATCACACTTTTCTTAAAATATGCAGATTTTATTTAAAATACAAATTCATACATAAAATCCAATAATTTATAAATTATATCCTTAATCAGGAGTGGACTAGCCCATTGGGCCTACCCTAAATGGGAAAAAAAAAAAAAAATCTAATTTCCCTATAATCTCTCTTTATCCTTTTGGGATTCTATCTATCTATCTTTATTAAGGATTCTATCTATCTTTATTAATTTGATCTTTCTGTCCTCCTCATTTCCCCTAATTTAGTCTATGTAATATACCACACAAATTATTATTAACTATGATTTTTAATTCTACGACCTGACCTCACTGTCATTTCATATGTATTAATCTTTCTGTCTTTCACCCCTCTCCCTAATTAATTACTTAACATACGTCAATTCTCTCTACTAATGAAAGATTTTATACTGTTACTTACACCCCTTTTTAATAGAAATAAAATTTAATAATTTATATAATTATAAACTAATAATCTACTTAATAATTATCATTATTTTTCCCTAATTTTAATAAACTTCAAATGATTATGTTATACTCTTAATTTTCACAAATCTATTTTATAATTAATGACAATGATGTGACATAATTAAAAAAATAATCAGATTATAATGCAATTTGAATCATTCATTGAATTTTGACTGTAACAACTTAGTGTTAAGAGCAAGCAAGATGGTTTACTATTTAATTTTTTAAAGAATTTAATCATATAAAAGATTAATTTAAATTTGCATATAACTAAACTCATTTTTTCATTCAGCCCTTGCTTCTTCCCTCCCAATTTCATCACAAATTTTCATAAAACATCAATAACATCAATTAGTAAGAGAAGAATTTGAATTAAAAGTAAATTAGGTCAAGATTTAGGGTTTAAGTTTAGGGTTTTTTGCTCTCTTCACATTAAAGAGGTTTTACCACATAAAATTTTTTTTATGTTTCCTTATGAATTGGATGTTATTTTCAACACATTTGTTGAAGGTTTTGCTTCTCATGGATTTATTTAAGTAGGAAAGTATTGTGTTATTGCATTCTTTCTTTTCAGCTTCTCGATATTGTATTGTTTCCTTTACTCAAGGTTTGATGGTTTTTTAAAAGTTTTTACCAGTTGATTGGCAAACAATGGTGGAGCTGCGGAGGCCCCCCGGGCAAAAATCTCAGGTCTACCATTGCCCTTAATGAAACAATAAATATTATATTACTAATATATAACGCTAGACTATGCTAAACTCAATAATTTAGATTGAGTCTAGCATTTAACAATATGATTTAGTAGTCTAATAAAAACATGCTAGATGGTGCTAAACTTGAAAGTCTAGCGCATTACAGTAGTTTTTCAGTAAGGACAATTAGGTTAAGTCACCCTTGACATTTTTGAAATTAAGATTAGTAAAATTAGTTATATGTTATCTTAATTTTAAATATATTAGTCAAGGGCATGTATTATTGTTTATTTAAATATATACTAATGTTAAAGTTAGTATATCATTCTAATTTTATAATATCACAATAAATGGACCCTTTATTCGATTTAAAAATAAAAAATGAAATATGAAATATGCATGATATGAATTAATATATTGAATCTATAGTAATGTATGATTTGGCCGGCACAAGAATTTCAGTTAATCTAAAGGATTTGGAAGTTTTGTTAGAAAGATAAAATAAAGTTTTCAAATTGAAAAATATAAAGAAGGGCATATATGATGTCCCTTAGAATGGTGGCTATAGTTGAGAATTATTAGAAGGTACAGCTACTTTCTTCTTTCAATAGATCAGATAATATATCACATGTTTTCTACTGAAAGAAAGAAGTCTTTAATATTCAGTTAGCAGTTATCTTCTTCATTTCAGTTCACAAGAAGTTCAGTTGAGCAGTTTTGTTGAATCAAAACTCAAATCCATTGAGTCAAACCATATTTTGGTTTGAATGTAAAGTAGAATGCCTCGCTTGTTTGACTTTAAAACTTATCAACTGGTCACTGCTACCTAATTTTCATTCATCAGCAGGTCTCTACACGTGGCAAGTTAAAATTTCCATCTAATAACTTGCCAATCCAATAAATAAAAACCTTATAATATTTTCAAAATCAATAACCAATTACAGAAAAGTGTTCCAGTATTCCTTTTCCGGGCAAACTTATGGCGCTTCCAGGAAACATCAATCGAACTTGTTTGAGTATCTTTCTTGTACTAGTTTTCTCTCACATTGCGGCCTCTCAAACCATTGTGGAGACTCTTCCAGGATATCCCGGAAAGCTTCCCTTCAAGCTTGAAACTGGGTTAGTCATTTTAGTATATGATTGTTGGAAGAATTTATAGTAGTTTATTTTCTGGTTCTGTGTGAATGAGAAACTGATAGAAACGTTATTTTTTTAATTTTTTGTATGTGAAGATATGTTGGAGTAGGAGAGACGGACGAAGTGCAGTTTTTTTACTACTACATTGAATCCGAGAGAGACCCACGGATTGACCCTCTTTTGCTCTGGCTTACTGGAGGACCTGGATGTTCTGGCTTCTCTGCAATTGCTTTTGAAATTGGTAAGTTTTACTTTTTTTTTTTTTTTTTTTATTTTCCTTCGATTCTCATGTCATTTAACATAAAATGAGACAAATAAATGTTGTTTATGCTATGAAAATGGTAAGCTTCGTTGCACTAAAATGCAGTCATGACCACTCAAAAATTCATACCAGTTATTGATGTAACAAGTTCATGCCTAGTATTGTCCAATAATTTCTTATTTAGAATTCAAATTTCAAGAAGGGTAGATTACGGCGTGGGCATTGGCAGAAAATCCTGATGTGGTCAAATGTCAATATTTAGTGAATGCGAAAAATATTTTGTGCGGCAATTTTATTTCAAGGAAGAACTCTTATTTCAAAGCACTTGTAACCGTTTTATCATAAGCTCCAAACTTAGAGGCCCACTTAAAGAGTCCCTATTTGTTGGGCCTGGAGACCCTTTTTGGGCCAATTATCAATTTGAACGCTGATAGACGGGTTAATTTTTCTAATTTTTTTAATAGAGTAAACAACTTTTTCCCACTTAAGGTTTGGCCTAATGACACTTTTCCACCCAAAAAGTATGGGTATTCAAAAGAACTGGTTAGAACTGGAATCAACGGATACTCGGGGTTTGGTTTCGATTCTTACCCAGAACCAACCGTCAACGGATAGGTTCCGGTTTCAAATTTTTGGAATCGTCACTGTGCGGTTCCGATTCCGGTTCCTATAGTTAGGAATCGGAACCGGAACCGGAACCAGAACCAGGAACAGAAACTAGGAACTGAGACTAATATTAAATAAAATTAAAGATTAGGGGGGTTAATAAAAACATTTGTAGAAAAAGTAATGTGAATACATTTATATTTATATTTATATTTCATAACATTTAAAGTAATGTGAATACATTTATATTTTTAAGGTTTTTTTCTTTTCCATTTTAAAAACTTTTGGCGGGTCCTTGTAATTTTACATGTTACCCAGAACCGGAACCGGAACTGTTGGTTTCGGTTCTGGTTCTAGATTTCAAGGAACCGTCGATTCCGGTTCCGGTTCCGTCAAAAAATGTCGGGTACCTAGAACCGAACACCCCTACCAAAAAGTATCAAAATGACACTTCACTACTAATGTTATGTAATTAATATTGAGCAAACGACTTTTTCCCACCGAAATAATAGCTTAATGACATTTTCTTACTCACTGACTTTTAAAATACCATTATTATCCAAATTTGTATTTCGTTTCCTATTATGACATTATTGCGACTTGACACTTTTACTATTTTCTTCCCGATTATCACTCACCGAAACCTCTCAAATTCTACTTTCGCCAACTTTGCCAATTGTCGATAATCGAGCGATTAGGGTTTGTATAGTTAACTCTCCCAAGTAAAATTTCGATCAATCCCAACTACCTAAATCAAACATTCCACCATCAAAAGACTTATTGGTCTTTTCTCTTTAAAAGCCTCAATAGCTTGAACTAAATTTGCTCTTTGTTCGTCATCAGAATATAAATTTAGATAATAAAATAATATTTTAAAAGTTTATGGGTAAAAAATAATCATTAAACTATTATTTTGTTAACTCATTAATATTAGATATACAAATTCCTTCAACGACAAAAAGAATGGGTGAGTTTTCACAAAAAGTCAATTTAATGTAACTAATATAGTTGGATGATACGGCAATAAAAAAGGTCTGCCGCATAATTTGAAGACAGAAATTATGGAAGTAATTCTATTGCTTCTATTTGGCACCCAACTGTTTGCTTGTTAGTCCGCATCCTATCCATTTATTTTTCTTGTTGAAATGATAAAGAGATGAAGATCAATATAGCCAATCAATTTTGGTCTGCATCAATTTACTATAATTATTTTCTATTAATTTTGTAATCGGATTAGAAGCTTATTACATCATGAATTATATGAACAGGGCCTATTTTTAATCGCCATCAAATTTTTAATTCCTTTATTTAATTTAGCTGTTATTTGTAATAAAGTGTTTGCAAAATTTAAGTTAATATCTATTTGAACTAAGTTGTGGCACTGATCAAGAAAATAACATGTAAAAAGATGTCAGAAATTACCATAACATAAATTTTACTTTTTTTGCAGGTCCAGTGGGTATTAATACTACAAGTTTTACTGGGGGTTTACCAAGTCTTAAGCTAAACCCATACTCATGGACCAAGGTTCATAATGCTTTTATCTATATACAAAAATAAAAAATTCATAAAAATAGTTTTTTCATTTAAACTATATAACATATTCTAATTCTTAATATATTAACTGGAATTTCATTATAATAATTCAGGTGGCCAGCATAATATTCATAGATGCACCAGTTGGAACTGGATTTTCATATTCAACCACTGTTGAAGGTGCCAACACTTCTGACACCAAAAATGCAGCCCAAATTTATACTTTCTTAAGAAAGGTAACTCCACAATTTGATTTCCTTTTTATAAAGCGCTTTCAAATGCTTTTGCTTTTACATTGAATTCTTTTACTTGAAAGTGATTTATAAACTCAAAACTGACATGCACAAGTTGTGAAACAGTGGCTGTATCAACATCCCGAATTCATTGGACATGAAACCTACATTGGTGGAGATTCATATTCAGGCATAACTGCTCCAATACTGGTGACAGATATACTCAAAGGTTAGTTAATTTCTATCATTTCAAGATGTATTTGTAATTGAGAATCCCTGGAGTATCTGATTTACCTGAATTGCAGGTCTTGAAGCTGACGTCCATCCAATCATTGATCTCCAGGTACAAAATCTGGCTTCAATTAAAGAGTATCTATAATTGACTTGAATTACCATTTTGAGGTTTTAAGATGGTATGCATTGTACACTGGTTTAATTTGCATCAGGGATACATACTCGGAAATCCGGTGACAGACAATTACATTGATAACAATGAAAGGATACCATACATTCACCGGGTGTCGCTTATCTCTGACGCCTACTATGAGGTGATTTAAAATACAATTTTATATGTAATAATCTTGGTGTATAAAGCCATTTAAATAAGTTTTGATAAAGCTAATGTATAGCATATCATGCTTTTGCAGGCAGCCAAATTGCAGTGTCACGGTGACTATGTCAACATAGAATATAACAATACATTATGTGTGACAGCTATGCAAAATATCAAAGAGGTCTGATGAATTATTACTTCTAGTTTATTTGAAAATTTGTTTTTCCTGGAATTTAAAGTACATTGATTATTGATATTGAATGTCTACTTAATTTTGCAGTGCATTCTGCAAATAAAGCTCACACAAATCCTGGAACCTCAATGTGCTTTCACAAAACCGAAAGAACCACAGTGGGATGTGAGATCTCAGGAAGCAAACACCCTGGAGTACCTCAAGGCTAAAAGGCTTCCGGAATTGAAGTGCAGGGTAAACCTTCTCTTTCTCCTTCTCCGCCTTTTTAAAATAATGGACAACGTTGGTAACATTTCTTCTCTTTCAGGAATTCGCTTATGCACTCTCCTATAAATATATGAATGATAAATCTGTTCAGAAAGCTCTCAATGTTCGAGAGGTATGTGAATTGAAAGACTAATATCTCCTTGGAGTTTTCTTACTTATCATTATATCGCATTTATCCATATCTATTATTCTTTATTCCATTAGGGAACTGTAAAAAATTGGGCCAGATGCCTGAAAGACTTCCCAACCTACACAGAAAACATTGATAGCACTATTGACTATCACAAAAATCTTTCAACCACTGGCATGCGAGCTTTGATATACAGGTGAATCTTAATGCCTTCTCTTGATATATAGTTTCAGTGCCCTTTTTTTCTGACCCAAAAATTTTGATATCTGCTTTTTGTGGTATGCAGTGGAGATCATGACATTTCTGTTCCATACTTGGCTACAATAGAATGGATAAGGCTTCTCGACGTACCTATTTTCGATCAATGGCGACCATGGTACGTTGATGGCCAAGTCGCAGGGTATGTCTCTGAACAACCTCAAAACTAAATGTTTTTGGTTAACCTCTTTCTTTATGAGATCATAGTAACGTATTACATTTTTTGCAGATACCAATCCAAGTATATGAATGATAACTACCGGTTGACTTATGTGACATTAAAAGTAAGTAATTAGTTTTTGGTATATTTGCAGTAGAGTTAAAGGCTTACACATTCTTATTTCTTATTCAGGGTGCAGGTCACACGGCTCCAGAGTTTAAGCCAAAACAAGCTCTAGCAATGGTTGACAGGTTCTTCGCTCGTTATCCCATCTAAGTGATTATTGCAACATAATCAAGTTTGCAGAGTCTATTCAGAATCAGTTCTTTGTTGTTTATTAATGTAATCAGAGCATTCTGTAACAACACTAGTAATTTTCTACTAAGACAAATAAGATTCAGTACAAGTGTGTACTTGCTAACTACTAACCACGTATGTTCACTTCAGTTGAATGCACTCAATTTTACCTTCTCTTGTAAATTTAAAAAGTGATGGAAACTTTTGAGAAAATGTAAAGTTTGTTTACTTTTCATCTCATTTTCACTATTATTCATAATGATGCAGCTTCATTTGATAAATTTAAGAGATCTAAAATAAATCTGTTGAATCTAAGGATTTTCTAGCTAATTGAAAATGTTTGATACTACTGCAAACATAATATTGATCTTTTAAAAAACAGAGAAACTACAGAGCAATGGCTTCTGTACTATTTCTGATATGAAAATTTGACAATGGCTACAGCATGGACCTTACTGATTTTGAGGCATGAACAAATTCAGAAAATCTGCAACTACGTCCATAAAAAACTGCCTCAAGTGGAGAAGACATTCAATTTAATATTGGATATATAGATATATGAGTATTAAAACTCTGCTTTCCTTAGCGTAATTATAGGACAATTTGAACTTCAAATATACTTAAAAATTATATATAAAATATGCATAAAGAATTATCTGACATTTTATTCATTTATGTTGTGAACCTTAGGGTGAGTTTGGGGTTGTTGGAGCTTCTCCCATAGTCACTTATTTCATAATCTATAATCCTGAAAAGTGTTTAGTAAACTAGTTTAAAAAGCATTATCCAACAATCTGATTATCAAATAATCTATTTTATAAAGGGATTCCAAAAGCATGTATTTGTAGCTTTAAAATTCAAAATTTGCTTTTGAAAAGGTTAATTAAAAAAAAAAAAAAAAACCCTAAGATTAACTTAAATTCTAATTTTTTTAATTAAATGATTAATATAATAAAAATTTGAAAAATCTTTGAAACTGACCGACAAGAGGCTCGTAGAACATTAGCCGCTGGCGGTGGTCAAAGGTGCGTTTGATGACTCTACCAACTCTATTGGGTAGATCGTTGGCTGATTTACCCAATGGATCAATCATAGCGGCTGAAAGCTAGGACATTTCATAGCAACAGGCTAGAAAAGGTTTGGCGGTGTCGTTGGAATCGCCTCCAGCAACAGTGACCAACCACTGCCAGCAACCTTATGGGCCAGTTATTTAAAAAAATTATTTCCAATAATAAAAAAAAAACTTATTAAAAGAAACCTATTATTGTCATTTCATATTTATTACATATCATTTTCTAAAAGTAAAAATAATTTAAAAATTAAACAAAACAAACACCTAAAAACTTATAACAAAATTGTCTTTTGATTGATAAAGGTATCCCTTTAAATAGCTAGAGCTATGTTTATCACTTGAGATTATCTATAGAACTAAGATGTTGAGGTATTCCAATAGGAATAATGCTACAGTTATCGAAAGTAATGCACCGAATGACATAACACAATCTTGACTGTCTATTAATATTAAGTTATAATTAATCGATGGTCAGAATTATGTCACGTTATTTGATGCATAAATTCTATATCTGGGCAAGGGACCGGTCCCTTGCGGGCCCAGGCCTAGGCCCGTTTGGGACTGGTCCCAAATGGGACCAGTCTCTCATGGGCCTGGGACCGGTCCCAGGCCCATGAGAAAAATCAGGACCCAGACCAGGCCTTAGGCCTGGTCCGGACTGGTCCCATGGGCCCAGGACCGGTCTTAGGACCGGTCCCATGGGGTTTGGAAAATTTTATTTTCCCCCCTCAATTTTTTTTATATTTTGGGGGCAAAACAAAATTTATAGGGGGTTTTTAGTATTTTTTAGGGGTTGATTAGTAAGTTTCTAAAAATTTAATTAATTTTAAAAAATAATAAATTAATAGTTAATTTTAATTTTTAACATAAATATAATATTCACATTTCACACATTCACGCTTCACAAATAAACAATTAAATAATTTTTTTATTAAATTATTCATCTTCAATTTCATCGTCAACACTAGTTACATTATTCAAATCTGTATTCCTAAAGAGTTCGAGTAGTTCGGGATCTTCAGGGTGCTGTTGTAGTCTTCTTTTCATGAGTCCAATCCTGTAAACACGTTATCACTTGAATCATCTCATCGGTTAAAGAAAATCTTCTGTTTTCAACAATCCGACCACTCGTTGAAAATGTTGACTCGGATGCAATTGTAGAAACCGGCACAGATAAAATGTCACGTGCCATTTGGGATATAATGGGGAATTGACTTCTTGTGGTTCCACCATTGAAGAATATCCATGCAAGTGTCTCTTCATCGTCATAAAGGTCAAGTCACCTGTAGGTAGCGAGTCATTCATTGGGCTATGTATGTACGAGCTGGAGCTAGAGCTGGAGCTTCTGCTACCTGCTACATACGCCCACTTGGTCGACCATTGAGGGGGGCTACATCAAGGTTCTGATCGCCTCTCCCAGATGTTCCACTTCCACTTCCACTTACACTTCTACTTGCATTGTACTGTTTCATAAAAGAAAAAAGCCATCCAATTTGTTTTTAAAGTCAGTCAAATAAGACGTATAATCATGTCCTAAATAATGGCATAACTCCTAATTACACCGTTAACTACAGATAATTTAAACCTAGGATCTAGAAAAAGGCCTAATCCATATAAGAATGAAATATCTAACCAATATCTCTATATTTTTCTTCCATATTTTAAACAATTTCACTAAAAATGTTATCATGTCTATATTGATAAAAAGTTTAGCAATTTGAACTAAAATATCTAACACTAAATTAGTAGTTGGATAATAAATACCACTTAAGTATTAGTAGCATCATAAAATTTTAAGAAATGAATAAAAAAGTTCACAACACCCCCAATCATCATAATCGACAACTTCCTCTGGATAGGTCTTCCAGTTGACGAAATTTGTAATTTGTTTCACGGTGGGAAAGCTTTTTCCAACATCAAGTAGGTAGAGTTCAAAGGATAGGCATGTCTGTACATAACTTCAAAGGTCGAACCGATGGGTCCTCTTGCTTGCAATATTTGAAGTACTCTTGTCATCTTTTATGCTACCACCGACGATAAATCGATAGCTACGCACCCTCTCAAGTCTCATCCTGAATGTATAGCATCTAAACCTGCTTTAACTATCAAATTGATGATGTGACAAGCACATCTCTGGTGATAAAATTTGTCTTCACCAAGCGGATCCAATTTCTTTTCAAATAAGATATTGCTGCAGTGTTAGCAGCTGCATATCAAGCGTTAGCGCTACAACTCTATCAGTTAAAATATTCTTGCAAAACTTCAAGAATTGTAAAATAAATAGTTTCAACACTATGTTTTTCATATAATGGTTTAAAACTCATCAATTTTTATTGTAAACCCCAATTATGATCTAAGAAAGTACGTAACAGTTAAAAAATCGGTTTTTGATCTACAAGCCCATATGTCGATGTAAGTGCAATAGATATATTCCTAAAATTTGAAATTCTTTTTAAGTTTATTATTTATTTTATTACAAAGTTTTGGTATATCTCTTCTACTTGTAGTTCTACTAACAGGGGTATATGCTGGACAAAATGCAGTTTTAACCATATTAACAAAAAAAGATTTTCAGATAAACAAATGGGAGAGTCTGTAGCAACTATATATCTTGCTATTTCCTCTCGTGCAACATGTGTATTGTATTGCCATGTGAGAGAGTTGAGGATGTGGATTAAATTAAGTTGAGTTTGAATTTGTCTACCTGATCCGCTTGAAGATGCATTTATTTGGGGATGCTCTCTTCTACGTGTCGTCTCATCGTCGAAGTCCCCTTCTCAGCCCAATAATGGTTCCACATGAATTACATATCCCACACGATTCTTCCCCCTCCCCATTTGTCTTTGGCCTTTTTGATTTAGTGAAGTATCGTCAGACATCGGACACGACCCTCTTGACGGTCGAGGGGTTGGGCTATGTCGTGCCCGTGACTCGCAGTCACATGTGTTTTGCTACACCTCGTCCGGCCGAATGTGGTTGTGGATTACAGCTAATCTCTGGAGAAATGGTGAAATGAAAATGGATTGAAGGCTTCAATTTCTTCGGTGATGGAACGTAAAACTCATTTAGGGAAGACATTATAAATTTATGATAAAATAATAAATAATTAAAATGAAAAGAAATTAAATAATAATGAAATTGTGATGATATTGAAAAATGAAAAAATTTGAATAATATAAAATAATTATAAATATAATTGAATGAGAAATTGATTGGAGATTTGGAGTAGAGAGTTGAGAGAATGAGAATGAGAGATTGAGAGATTGGTGTGAAAAAAAATTAAAGGTTTTAGGGTTATTTATAGTGTAGTTGTGGGGGGGGAAATGAAAAAAAAAATTTATTATATAAATAATAAATGTAACCGTTGGCACTTGACAGTTACCGTCGGCTGCAACGGTTATTTTTTTTTTTTTAATAAATTTTGTAAAATTTTATTTTAGTCCTTGAATTTATACATGATTTAGGGGGTTTAATGTAATTTTACAAATGATTAAATTGATAAAAGACAAAAAAACTTTTGGGCCAGGCGGGCCTTGGAGGAGGGCCCGGGCCCTCCTCCTTAGGCCTGGTCCCGTTTTGGGACTAGCCTCCTAGGAAGGTCCTCCCAAGGATCGGTCCTAGGACCGGTTTTTGGAGCTAGGCTTTTGGGCCCGGTCCCAAATGCCCAGCTCTAATAAATTCGATGCACTACTCTCGATATCTCTATTATTTTCCATTCCAATAGTGCTCTCTATTGTTTATGTCATAATGGGCCATCAGCCCATACATTCTCTGGTTACAAATATAGATGGAGTAATTGGCATCTCATTAATAGACTAAGAGGTGTTTGTCTAAGCTTATAAGCTGGTCAAACTAGTTTATAAGTTTTAAAATTAAGTAGACCTGTTTGTTTATAACTTTTTTAAACTTAAAGTTGAGCTATAAGCAACAAAAAATAAGTTGGGAAGAGGTTTTTTTTTTTTTTTTTTTTTTTTTTTTCTTTTTTTTTTTTTTTTTTTCTATAAGCTAGTTTGACAAAGTATATTATCATATTATCCTTATTTAATTTTAAAATTTCATAGTATACCCTTGTTTAATGTAGTACCCTTTTTAGTTATTTTATAATAAAATGTACTTATAAGTCATATTTTACCAAACACGTCAACTACTTATTAGTCATAAGTACTTTAACCAAACACGTAATTGCTTAAAATTTCAAATGCTTAAAAGCTAAAATTAGCTTATAAACATTTGTTGCTTATAAGCTAATTTTCATAAGCTCAGACAAACATCCCCTAAACAAATCTCATTTCTTATTTTCTTGAGGCATCTTATTTCAAAATTCTAAAATTAATTTTTCTTCTTATTGACACCTTATAAATTCCATAAATGCCTTTCATTGTAATTTTTAATATTTTAAAAAAGTTAACATTTTATTTCCTTCGCTTCTGTTATATACTGCCACCATCATTATTACTAAAATAAATTTCAGATAATTAAATTGAAATTTAAAAAAAAAAAAAAAAAAAAATCCTTAGAAGTAATCTCAGTATCATAATACAGTTAAACAACACAATATATATATATTAAAACAACTCCCACTACTTTAAAAAACAAGATAAAAGTAGATTTATATGCGAAGAAATTAAAAACTAATAATTTTGTATTGCTTGCAAAATGATATATCCATTGCAAATATTCTTCCTCCATTAAATTAATTTTCTTTTTTTTTTTCTAATAATGATTTGAATAACATAAAAATATTAGGGTTTATCAGATAATAGTGGGTGGTCAAAAGAATAGGAAATTATAGTTAATTTTAATAATTTAATATGGGATAAATCTGTCATTATAAAACTTATTAAAAACTAGGGCTTCTTTAGTCCATTAGTAAGTTGCCAATAGATCCACTAAAAAATATATCCTAAACAAGATCCAAAATTAACATAAGTAACTTTTCTATCAATAAGCATACACTCTTTTTGCCATTTTTGTCAATAAACGGACATGTTTTACTAAAAAATGTCTTTTGATTGATAATGGTGTCCGTTTATTTTTTACACAAATAAAACTTGTGTCGTTTCTTCTTTAATTTTTTTTTTTTTTTAAAAGGTGTCCTTCAATTGATAATAACCCAATATGAAATTGATTGTAAAAATATAGGTTTCTTTTTTCAATTTGAAGAAAATCAAATGCTTAAACTCAATGACATTCATTCATACTGAAAATCAAATATTCACAGTAAAATATAAATTTTGATACACAAATATTTCTTTACACTTTATGACTAATCAAAGATATTACATTAGTGGATAGAGAAACTTTGTTAGCTCAAAAACTCAAGAGTTATTTGAAAGATTCTTTACAATGCATACTAGATTATTTTCTAAATTCGACCCTTTTTTGTTCTCGCATCTATTTTCCATCAATTAAATAACAAATGAGTGAAAATAATGCATATACTTTCACATATATGTCATTATTTTGTTCATTTGTCTTCATGTAAAAAGACATGAAAAATAAATCTAAATGCAAAAGTAACACTTGAAAAAGGGTTCTGTACTGTGATATCGATCATGAGCTCCCAACTAACATTCCAATGAAGACAAAGAAAGTCTTAATTACTGGATCCTTCCAGCTCTATAAACTTATCAGAAAGTCGGTAAGTTTCTTCTCCATACAATACAATTTTAAGTTGCAGGTAGAAAAAGGCAGCTAGCTCATGGCACCATCACCATCACCATCAATATTTGGTCATCCAAGTCACAGAAACCTGCGGCTACTCACTTCATTCACTGACATCCTTAAACTAGTGTTATATCTCATTCTATTTTTGGTCCCGAAGCAGCCGGTTGTTTCACAATCAATAATAAAAAATCTACCAGGATTTCCGGGAAACCTCCCTTTCAAACTTGAAACTGGGTGAGTGCAGTTTTATTCTCTTCATTAATTATATATACATGTATATGGCTTACTTTAACTTAAATTTGCACTTATTATTATTATAATCAATAATGTTTATTGTGGGATCTATGGAATTAATAAATAATTAAGGTATGTTGGGATGGGTTACTTGGAGGAGGTGCAGCTATTTTACTACTTTATTGAGTCAGAGAGAAGTCCAAAAGATGATCCGCTCCTGCTTTGGCTCACCGGTGGCCCTGGTTGCTCCGCGTTGTCCGCTCTGTTTTATGAAATCGGTATTTTTATAAAATTTCCCTTTATCTTTTTATCTTATTTGTCAAGAAAATATGATGCTTTCATGACGAAAATCTACTGAAGATTATAAGTTAAACTGAAGAAGATGATTTATTTATTTAATGGCAAAACCTCATCAAAACCCACTTCTATGCACAGGGACACAATGCTTAAGGCCCTTTTCGTACACAATTTTTTACTACTTTATTTCCTATTCTATCCAAAATACAATATTTATTTCTTTATTCTCAAAATATTATTTTATATTATTCAATTTTTTTTAAACCCCTTAAATTTGTTAATTAACAACACCCCTAAAAAAAAATTTAGAAATTGACAAAAACACTTCAACAATCCACATTTGTCAGATTCATGTCACCACCACCGGAAGCTATCTGATATCTGGTATAATGGCACACAATTGGCTGGATCTGGCCGGTAGTGTGCTGATCTAGTCTTTTTCTGTTAAATCCATAGTGGATGTGATTGCAAAAGGCCAGATCTTTGGCCGTAACCAGTCGTCAACGATTGCCATATCTTTGGCCGTCATTGACCACCAAACGCGGCCAGATCTAGTCGTAGATCTGGCCAGAAAAGGTCATATCGACGTACGACTGATCAGATCCAACCAGTCGTACGCTGATACAGTGACTCCGGCTACCCTTCGACGGTGGTGGCCAATTGTCGATATTTAGTGAATGAATGAAGATGTTTTTGTTAATTTTTAATATTTTATTATAACGGTGTTTAGTAAATATTTTTATTAATTTTTAAATCTTATACCATAATGACCATTTAATTTTATCTTTTTTTTTAAATATTATTCTAAAAAGTGTCGAAATAAACTAATTGTAACCTAATATATAAATGTTGACCGGAGGGTGGTTTGCTTTGTGAACGGCTCATCAAGTCAAAAAATATATCCAAAGAAAGAGTTGATTATCAAGTGTCAACTATTTAAGACAGACATTATTATTATTTTATCTAACTGTCACTCGCGTCATCTACTTTAAAACACGTGTTAATAAAACTCTTTTACATTAATAAATTAATATCTTTTACTTTATAATTTAAAAATAAAAAACTTTGATTAATAAATTTGTTTAATTTATTTAAAATGGAGGAAATTTATTTTAACTTTTCATTTAAGTTTTTTTAACAGATGTCTGAAGTTTTACATATTCTAAGTTTGTCTACTAATTTTTTATTTATCACAAGTGATTGATATTAAAATAAATAGTATTATGCATGTGGATATTGAAATAAGATAATTGATGATATGACAATAATTAATTAGTTTAATTACCTCTAGATGATCAAGTGGTTTGATAGAGATTTTTGGGTGTATTACTCAATAGGTTTTGAGTTTATGTCCCTCTTCGATTGCTAATAGGGATAGTTATTGGAGTTTTTACCTGGTCGATAGTTTTAAGATCTCAAGGGATTAGTTGAGGTACGCGTAAGCTAACCTAGACATCCCTGGTAATAAAAAAAAAAAAAAAATTAATTAGGTTTTGGAATACAAACTTACTATGTATAACATTATTATCATTTTATTGTTTATACAACAATAACTTCAAAATTTTACGTCATAGGACCAATTAGAGTATTAAATTTATAAAATTAATATTACCAAGAAATTAGTATCTGAGCAGCCACTTTTGCTCTTATGTAATTTAATAGCCAAAATCATGTTACTGGAGACTCTTATTATAATTTTACAGGTTGCCAACATAATATTTCTGGATGCACTTGTTGGTACTGGCTTCTCTTATGCAAAAACTTCTGAAGGATATAACATAGGAGATCTAACTTCAGCATCTCAAACCTATGAGTTTCTAAGAAAGGTGACAAAGATCTCTCAAAAGCAGTGTAAATATTTCTTCGGTTTTTTTTCTTTAAAGCCGTAAGACATTTTAAATTGCCTGCAATATATACCGAATTTTGTGAACTTGCATTTTTCAAGCTTACCATGAGTCGGTTACCTCTCAATTCTGGAATGAGCAAGATTCAATTTGGAAACTTTTTTATGCTGTTACAAGAGATCTTATTTGAACATTGTGTGTGCGTTTGTTATTAAGTCAATAATGCGCCTTTGCAGTGGCTCCTGGATCACCCCAAATTTCTCTCGAATCCGCTCTATGTTTCTGGTGATTCTTATTCGGGCATGACTGTTCCAATCATTGTTCAGAAAATGTACAATGGTAACCGGTTATTTCCCCTTTTTAGTTCATAATTATTATGAGTAAACACCATGAAACTAAAAAAGGATTTTTTTGGGGGGATATAGTTTATATGTGCATTATAGTTAATCCAACATGAAGCATGTTTTTGTGTTCTCATTTATTTCATGTTCTTGCAGGTATTAAAGAGGGAGATGTGCCATTATGAATATCAAAGTACATAATCTGATTTAGTAACTGAAATACAATTCCTGTTCATATTGATGCCTTTATTGTTTAAGCATTGGGAGATTTATATAACCTAATTGTTTTTCTGCAAAATGAACTCAGGGATACGTGCTAGGTAACCCATTTACCGATGTGAAAACCGACCTCAATTCAAGAATTATCTTCGCTCACAAAGAGGGATTACTATCAAAACAGCTCTATGAGGTGAATTTATATTATGAGCAGCGTTGTTTGATGCAATACTATATTAAAAACGTAATTTGTTCTCTTTCTTGTAACTTCAATTCATCATTATGGCATTGTTTTTTCTAATGGTAAAGAATGCATTGTTCTATGTATGTCAAGTCAACTAAAATAAATTGCAAGGGTGAGTATATGCGCCCAGATACAAATAACTCACTGTGTATGGGCGATCTTGAAGTTGTGAATAAGGTAAATATCATCTTGATCTCTCGGTTTCCCAAAGATCCTGTTATCATCGTTTTTAATTTTTGTAGGCCTGAAAATCTTTTACTGTTAACCCTTCAGTGCCTGGAAAAAATATATATGCCTCAAGTGTTGGAACCAAAGTGTAGTACACTCACTCCTAAACCAATTGGGCATCCAAGTTTTCTGCAGGGAGAGCATTCCATGGATGTTCACCTTTCAACTCCACAACTTCTTGGACAATGGTGTCGAGTAAATGTCCTTTCATCGGTTTGAAAATTGAATACAAGTAATTACTTCAGAATATTATGTATATGAATTTAAATATGTAATGAATTATATTTGTTTTTCAGAATTATAATTATCTATGGTCTTACATTTGGGCTAATGATCAAACTGTTCAGAAAGCTCTTAATGTTCGAGAGGTAAGTATGTTAATACAATTAAATAAGAAATCGTATGTTACATCAAATAATACAATTAAGTTGTAGTGAATGTGGCTCACTTTCAGGGAACTATAAAAGAATGGGAGAGATGCAACAGTAGCTTCTCTTCAACATATGTACATGACATCATTACTAGTATCGATTATCAACGAAACCTCACCAGAATTACAACTTATCGAGCACTTATCTACAGGTATATATTTTTCAAATTTTTTGTATTCTTCTCCATCAAAAAGTATTGTAAAAGTTACTTAATTCTTTTCTACGTCAATCGATGCAATTTTTTTCCAAGACAAATAATATTTTCTTCACAAAGTATTATTTTATTTTCCCACAGCGGTGATCATGACATGGTTATTCCATATGTGGGAACACAAGAATGGATAGAATCTCTGGGATTGTCTCTTAGCAATGATTGGGAACCATGGTTTGTTGATGGACAAACTGCAGGGTTCGTTTCTTGTTCTATATATATATATGACCTTTTTGCAAAATTAATTTACATTTCAATGTTTCTCAGCATCATATTGACTTTATATCCCTTCAAATTTGATCACTCGCAGATACAACCTAATGTATTCATTGAAGAAATACAGTTTGACATATGTGACTGTTAAGGCAAGCATGAATCCTTCGTTGCATTAATCAATTCTAGTTTCTGAAAAAGAATTCAAGTGAAAAGTACTCAAAAATTTTAATTGTAATCTTGTTTCATTTTACAGGGAGCTGGTCACACAGCACCAGAGTACAGGCCTAAAGAATGTCTTGCCATGATTGATAGGTGGTTTGCTTATTATCCTCTTTAGTATATATAATTATATTATGTATATTTATGTTCAAAATATATGATTTTTGAATTTATGAAAAATGAATTCTGCGAGATGGATGTTTGTTTAACTAAAACACTGCATGCAAAATGCATGGAATCAGACTAATATTATGTTTTTTTATAGAATTATGAAGTGATAATTTTTGTATCTGACAACTTATATTATACTTAACCATCATTAGTTGGTCTAATGATAAAAGAGCAAAAGAAGGTTTTATGAGTTTTTGAATTCGAATCCCTCAAACACTAATAAGAGTGATTATTGGGGTTCTTATCTGACAACAGTTTCAATACATTGAGGGATTAGTTAAGGTGTGGGTAACCTGGCGCAGACACCCCTAATGATAAAAAAAAATTAAAAAAAAAAAAAACTGGCATTATATAAAATAATCTTTTTTATATTTCTTGAAATTGTTAGATCAAAGTTAAATTTATTCTGGGAAAGTTACTTTCTGAGAGAACAAAAGCAATTTTTAATAGAAATTTATGTTACCATGTGAATGGATGTAATAGTATTTGGATGAACTTTTAATTAGGAATGATAATTTTGTGGTATGATAAGTCATGTTAGTAAATATTAAATGCTAAATTTTTAATAAAATATGACTTCCTGAATGTTTTAAATTTGATATTTCGATTACATGTAGATTTTTTTTTAATCCTAATCAAAATTTTCTAACAATAATATTTTTTGGCGTTATAATTTAGCCAATACAAATTGATAAAACCTCATAGGCGGGGATGATTAACGACAATCCTAAAAGAGTCAAGTGACCTATAAGACAAGAAATTGGGCTTGAGATGGTTGGGCCTAACCCGTGATTCCTTGCTAAATGGGAAATGGGTCCACGTCTATGCCAAGATAACAAATTGAATTTGAGTAGTGTTATTTAAGCCCAACTCAATCTTTTTCCACATTCCAATATTAATGAAAATGATTTAAAAATATAATTTAGGGTGTTTGGTTCGAGGTGAAATAAGATAAATCCTGTAATCTTTGTTTAATTTTCAAGATTTTCTTATTTGATTGTCAAGTAATATAATATTACAGTAATATTTTATTACAAATAGTGGTTACTATTGATAATATTGGAGGTAATCAGATTACCTTCCTAGGGGGTGTTAATGTTAGATTACCAGGGTAATCATAATTTTTACCCTATTTTACCCTTAATATTTTATCATTCTGAACACATTTGCCCTCATATGTCTACCAAATAACATTTACCCAGACCCCCTACATTTGAGAACTTAGCTAAAACACCCCCGCCACAAAAAAGTTTAAAAGTTAACAAAATACCCCTAATCATCCAAGACCACCGTCGGCCGCTAGCCACCACCGCTGGCTAGGGGTGTTTGGTTCCGGGTACCCTGCACTTTTTGAAGGAACCGGAACCAACGGTTCCTTGAAATTTGGAACCAGAACCGGAACCGACGGTTCCGGTTCCTAGGTACCCAGAACCAGAACCTGTAACAACGGTTCCGGTTCCAGTTCCGATTCTGGGTACCTTGTAAAATTATCATGACCCCCCAAAAGTTTTTAAAATGGCAAAAAAAATCCTTAAAAACTTACAAATATCCCCCTACCTGGCACTTGTTAACAAAAATAAAATTACAAATTATAAATTCAAAATTACAAGCTCCATTACTTTGTAATGGTAGATTCTCAAAAGTCAAACCAACTTACTTTAAATGTTATGAAATATAAATATAAATGTATTCACATTACTTTTTCTACAAAAGTTTTTATTAACCCCCCTAATATTTTATTTTATTTTATATTAGTCTCGGTTCCTGGTTCTGGTTCCGATTCCTAACTATAGGAACCAGAACCAGAACCGCACAATAACGGTTCCAAAAATTTGGAATCGGAACCTACCCATTGATGATTGGTTCTGGGTAGGAACCGGAACCAAACCCAGGGTACCCGCCGGTTCTGGTTCCAACCGGTTCTTTTGAACACCCCTACCGCTGGCCACCGGTGAAAGTCGTCATATCGGCACAAGACCGGCAGGATCTTGCCGGTCGTGTGCCGATAAGGACATTTCCGACCATGGATTTGTGATCCATGGCTGGAAACGACCAGATTTGGTCGTTTCACGGCCAAAGATGTCACCGTTTCACGGCCAAAGATCTAGCCTTTTCACGGCCACATCTTTGGCCGTGAAATGGCCAGATTAACTGCCAGATCTAGCCGTGAAACGACTATATTCAAGGCCAGATTTGGTCGAATTAGGCCTGATCGACGTACGACCAGCCAGATCCGGTTGGTCGTGCACCATTACAGCGGCTTCCAGTGGTGGTGGTGGTTACAGTCGGTGGTTTGGGGTGAGTGGGGGTGACTTTGCTACAAATTAAAGTTATATATGGTTGGGGTGTTTTGGTAAAATTTCAAATATAAGGGGGTTAAAAGAAATAATTTAAAAAATAATATTATATTATTATTTTAAAATGAGAGCAATTTAGTAATCTACATAACATACCCACTCATTTATCCTCCCAACCAAACATATTGTTATAAAATACCCATCAATTTATTCCAACCGACCAAATACATTTCTCTAAAGATTCCCTACTGATCTATCTTTCCAGTAATACAACATTCCTCAATAATATAACATTTCCTGAACCAAACGCTACCTTATAGACATATTACATTTCATTCCAAAACCATCTCTGTGAACTCTGAAAAAAATAAATAAAAAAAAAAGCTTTATATTTTATAATATTTAGAATTTTTACTCAACTTAAATTCTTATTGACCCCACAAAATTTTATTATAAATTTATTAACATAAATGTTTTGAACCCACTCACTTAAAATTCTGGCTAAGTCCAATTTTTTTTTTTTTACCTAAGTTTCTTTGTTAACCTCGTCATCTTTTTTTTTTTTTTTTTTCGTGAATTAAATTTCAACCACTATTATTATCTAAACTTAAAACTAGGCAATTGTTTCTACTTGCAACAGTGATGTGGACGGTTGTATTTCACTTGACAGTGAAGGAAAGAGAGACGGTGTAAGAGAGAGGAAGAGAAGTTAAAAACAATAAAAACAATATTTGAAGGTTTGTGGATGAGATGGGTTGATGATGTGAAGTGAAATACACTAAAATATACAGTAAAAGCTCTCTATAGTAATACTTTATATAGGAATAAACTCTACATAATCATAAAAAATTATATTCCCAATTTGGAATAGTTATAAATAAGAATAAACTCCACATTGTAATAAGTTATAATTTTTCTAATTCCCGTCTTAAGGAAAGTTGCCCCCACATAGTAATAATTATCTATGTGTTGCAAAAAAAATATGGTATGTTACATTAAAGGTTTAAAATGAAATAAAATATTTATCTGAAATTGTTTGAGACAATAATTTATGTTTTAGAGTTGTTTCCACATCTTTTAACTTGTGGATACATTACTTGCTAGCATGTACATTTTTTTGTTAAAACCAGAACATTTCTAGTTTCTCAAACATGTTTAAAGCTTCTTGACATGAAATTTTTTGTATTTTCATATTATTATCCTCATAATTATTTCATTTCTCTTCTTGTTTAATTGTAGAAATGATTTCTTCTTTTGCTAAAGCATACATGATTTGTTACTCATTTAGATGATTAAGGAAGACATTAATATTCATTCAATTAGTGCAATGAAGTTGTCTGAATTTGATCACATAATTCTACAATGATTTTTTGATTCTCCTTATCTATTTCATTTATAACTTGTAATTCATCGACATTAGAGGTCTTAATTTTGTAATGCTTAAAACAATTGATAATTGTTTGTGGCTTCACATTAGTTGTCATGCAACAACTACATTTACAATTCTATCAAGGACAGTTATCTTTGTTGGTTTCAAAACACGATCTTCCATCCGTTTCAAAAGTAGGCAATTGAAGCGATAAATTGAAACCCTAATATTATTAAAACATGAATTGAAATCCTAATATTGTATTACTAAAACATTAATTATGAAATAAGAAATTTTTAAACTACTCCTCTATTAAGTTATAACCTCTTTATAGTAATAAAATTAGTTAGTCTCACCATTATGACATAGAGAGGTTTTACTATATATGCAATGGAGCTCAACAAAAGAATTCTAGGAAGATAATGATTTGAGATGGGTAATTTTGGATAAAATATATTTGTAAATTAATTATTTTTAATTAAATTTAGATAATTAATAGGACTTACAAAGATATTATTATGCACGTGAGATAATTATTTGTCTTCCACCTAAGATACTTATCCATTAAGCTTAATTTTTAAGGCCATTAATTGTTGTTAACAAGTGTTACAAAATGACTCAATTCATTGATTCATACTTATCTCTTTTTATTTGTCTCTTGTCCTCTTGATTGCCTAATGGCATTAGATGAGATCTTTGTATACACGGCATAAAAGAGATAAATAACACGGTTGTAAAAGAGAAAGTTTCAAACTTGATGAAAAGTTCTTTCTAACTATTAATCTAGTCCTCCTATTCTATAATCCCTCACTTTGACCCTTTCACATATCTCTTATCAATTCATCTATTACTCGTTAATTATTATATATCATACATCAATTTTTGATATAAATTTTTGAATATAAAATGATTTCTCATAAATTTGTTCAACTTAAGCATTAAAGGGTCACACCACAAAACTCATTAGTGGCTCCTAGTAATGAATCTTATGTTGACAACTCATCTTCAGCGTTACTAGGGGTGAGCGATTCCGGGTACCCTGCATTTTTCAGGGGAACTGGATCAGAACCGCATAGTACAGGTTCTTAAATGCAAGGAACCGGAAACTAAAATGCAGGTTTCAGTTCCTTTCCCGGGTACCCTCTAAAAAATTGTTACCCCCCAATTAGTTTAAAAAATGACAAAAATATCTTAAAAGTTTACAAATACACCCCTAACAAATTTTGATTATTCATTCATTTGTGTCTAATATAACTCATAAATCCTCTAATCAATTAAATTTCTAATCATTTAATTAATTACTAATGTTTAATGTTTATAATATAATGTCATAATTAATTAAATAATCATTTAATTATGTAATGTTATAATTAATAAAGTAATATACTATTTAACTATAAT